CTATCATCATTTCCAAGGTAAGTGTTGGGTTAGTTCCGTTGTAATTTAATGCAGCTAGTATATAGTTTCTATTGCAATAATACATTTCGGTCRTGGACTGCAGTATTCAACGTTTTCTGATCTGTATAAACTTCTCTTTATCCACACCCTGCTTTCTCCTAAAGCCCCTCCGAAACAAAGTAAAGCCGCATATCAAAGAATAAAACCCTTGTAGCGGTCTCTTTTACGCTGTGTTAGCCTCAAAACCATGTAATGAATTCTTTTATTAACAAACAGCCTGTACAAATACAAGATCCGTGAGTATAGAAGACAATGGAAATTGTAGATCTGAAACGCTTATTAGTGAGTTTTGTGCTAAAAAGAGTTGTAACCAGACCAAATATTTCTTTTCCCACACCAACAGACTAATAATAGATCTGCGGACAATTGTCCTTCTGATCATCCGCACGCATGGAACGACTGGTTGTTGTTAGTTTGTTCGTCGGCCATCTTGTAAATTTAATGCCGCTACTCTATTATCTTCAATGAGTCACACCTTCAATTCATTTCTTCCGGCCCGTTTTGAACTTGCGATTTTTCGCGCTATATGAAAGCCCTGCGATTGTTCGGCGATGGAAAATCCTCGCGAGGTTGCAGCCAATCATTTTCAAGCATGTTTGAAACTCAGGCGATGGTCGCGCGACGGTCACCGCGAAAATCGCTCTGCAACGCTGATTCGATAATACGATTTAGGGTTATTGCTTGGAGCATTGCTGCGATGCACTTGCCTAACAAAGGGAAGAGACTTCTGAAGAAAAACTCTAAAAATAGTAGACACATTTGAGAACATTTAGACTAAGACCATTACGAGGAGACTCCCTCTACTGCATTAGATTATTGAGCATGTTTAATATCCCTCTTGATGCTATTTTTAGAATTGCTCGTTATAACTTCAGCGCAGTACAGCCAATCAAAAAAACACTTGAACGATGGGCATCGGAATGGCCGACAGAAGGAGGAAGACCTAAGTATCGCAAGTCCATTTTCAGGGTTTTGAAGTTTTATTTTAGTAGGAAATATTTCCTCAAAAAAAGTGAAAAATGATCTCCTTTCGCCTCAATATTTAGCCAACGAGGAAGCTGATGGTATAAAACAGCTGTAGCTCGGGGATACAGGGGGAAATGTCGAGAAAAAGCAGGAATGATTTATGAAATCTTTGTTGAGTAGACCGAAGACCAACAACAACCAGCACTGGACGGCAAAAGCAATAAAATCGCCCTAAATCATAACTCTGGTTCTTCAACATAAAATGGATGACGTGAAGATAAACGATGGTATAAATTAAACTTAATTAATGCTCAACTTTAATAGCTTATTAAGTGTATTATAAAATTTTAAGTCTTTTTAAACATCATCCATCCAACTTTGCCTTGACTAACTTAGATGACGATAAAATTAAAAAGATCATCCACAATATTTAGAGGTCTAAGGAAAGGAAAGGAAAGGTTTCTGGTGCTTATCGTCCTTCATGGCAACACAGGTCAATTTTTCACAGGCTTCCCGCGCGTACGCACGTTGTTTCCGAATTCCTTCCTTCCGTCTGTGTACCACCACAGGAAGTCCATACTCCGCGAGAAAAGGAAAAACACAATGAAAATGATAACATTAGAAAAATTAATCACAAACAAAAAATCCACAGAATCCACATGGGGGGTGCTAACTCCTCAACTTAACCCAGACAAATGGCCAAAAAATGATACCCTATCCCAGACTTTGAGCTTCGAATAAGGGACCCTATCCTGAGGCACATACCCGTATAGCAAATATGGTGCCACCAAGTTTTTTTTATGTTAATTTTAGTGGTTAGCTATTTGTCTATAGTTTATATGTCTAAAAGTTCTATTGACTATTACTAATTGCTACTAATTAGTTGGTCTATTTCTTTTCATGGTTGACAGAAAACCTCTCTATATGTTATATTTGTATGTTAGGATAGCAGAAATTTATTGATTCGGAAAGACTACTACGCCCACGTCTACACCCACAGACAGTACGTGACGAATAATTCTTTGAAGCGTGGAATTCGAGCCAACATTAATACAAAGGGATGAGTATAGCTACCTGTAACCACCAGTGTGAATCACAAATTGGTGATTGTTTTGGATCAAGTGAAATTATAGGGAAAAAAACACGCTTCTTGTCTTTTCACATGCTAAATAAACTAAAAATGTGCTAATTTGAAAATCTTTTTATTTCTTTTAGTGGTGATTTCTATATTTTTTACTTCATGTATTGGATTGCAATATTCTGAAATGACATCGAATATTAGCCGATAACAAAACGAAAAAGGGACTGGGTACGAACTTCCAAATCTAATTAARTAATGGTTCCAGAAAGAATAAAGAGCACCTTATAAAAGGCTTACTGACTAAGTTTCATGATGTTTGAGCTTATAGCAATAAAGTTATGGACATTCAAACCATGCCAAAATTACAAAGAAATGTATGGTGTCCAGCCAAAGCGTCCAGCCAAACATACATTCTTTGTAATTTTTGAAAAATTATATTCCCAATTCTAATGACTTAAACTTGCTCAAACTTTAAAGTTTAGCTAATTTATATGTGCTTTATCWATCAACAACAGATTTCTGTAAGATTGTAGCACTTTTAAAATTTTCAGTCCCAGCCCCCTGCTCGTTTTGTTATCGGCTAATTTGACAGCTATTCAAGGTACTGAAGGCAGCATTGAATATTTCGAGCGGCACCAGAGACCCGCCGGACAAACACTACCAGGACGATTCTACAAAAAGAGTGGAGGAACGTTAAAATCCTTCTCTCGTTAAAATAGACTTCTGAGCCTTTTACTTGATTTTCAAAGCATGGTGGGATCATTTTCTAGACAAAACAAAAGAAATCCGCCATGTTTTGTCCCAAACATATCCTACAATGCATTGCGTATTCGGTACATGACGTAAAAGGTTCAGAGGTCTATTGCATGCTAAGTCATAGATTACAGTTAAAAAACTTATTTTTAACATATCTGTAATAATACTTATGTATTTTGAGTTGTTATATAAGTGGATCGAATCGTCCTAACAATGGATCGCCGGAAACGTCCTAAATTGGATCGAAACAACTTGGATCGAAACGTCTTTGGATCGAAACGACCGGATACCCTAAATAATACCGGTCATTGTATTGTACTGCAGCACATCATTTTTTAGTGTTTTGAAGATCAAAATATATTTTTACCAGTATTTGTAATATTTGAATGTTTATCCGCTGATCATTTTATCAATGAGGATGTGTTACTCCAGCGGTCGCATAAGAAGCCATTATTCAAAATGGCAGCGACTGGCAATAAGACAAAAGAAAAGAGTTTTTCCTATACAGAATTTTATCACGCATGTTTTCTTCACAGGCCATGGAATGCCGGATAATATAAATTTCTGTGAATTAAAAAACATATATCGAAAAACTCAATTATTTGGATTTCGTTTCCTTCAAAAGTGTATTTTAAAATGTATATGCATTTATAACAAGGGGGCATTTCATTGCGCATGCACGATACGCTTGAGCTACCTTGGTCACAGCACTGTTTCGCAGCTCGTTYTCGGTCRAGATRKTTACATAATTTACGTTCAGGAAAATACGCTTTTTCATTCTTCAACAAGTAATCGATTGGGTTCAAACGACAAGTCTAGTATCGAATATGTGTTGAAAGTCTTATTGAAGTTAAATTTCTGGAGTATATCTGCTTAAAATATGGTTAAAAATCATACAGGGTGACTGACTTGGAGAAGATATAAAAATGGCGACTGAAATGTGGTCAAAACCATGCTTTGTCGTTGGTTTAAGACGCTCTGATGCCTGTTCTTATACTAGCCATGTAAATTGGATGCTATTTGTACTTTATGACAACATTTTGTTTTGAAATCGCTTGCAATTAAAGCGGCAAGATTCACACAGCCTTTATGCGATAATTGTTTTTTGACATTTTTCATCTTGAAATATTATTAAATCTAGTGAAAATACGGCAATGCGAGCCAATGCGTGTACCATTCCGCCATTCAATTTTCATATATTTCAAAATATAGAAATATAGCTGTAGGGCTATCATTTCAAATTTCGAAAATTGGAATTTGAATTTTGATCATCATTTTCAAAAATTCTATTTTTGAAAAATGAGTTTCAGATTTCAAATTTTGTTTTTCATTTTTTTCATTTCAAAAAGATAAACTTTGAATACGGTTTCAATTTTTTAAAACTCGTTTTTCATACTTCCAAAATTGGAAAAATAATGAGCGCCAGTATTGACGATCCCCCCTCCCCTGCGAACGAACTTGTTTTGTACAAAATGCACCCCCCCGGGTTTTCTAAATATTTCCAAGATGGCCGGCGTCTTTAGCAATGGAAAGTTGTATGTGCTTTCTTTCCAAATCATGCAAATGTTATTGAGTAAAACTCAGATTCAACGGTTGCAAGACAATTCTTTCTGCATGGCCTTTGATATTTCAAGTAGTTGGAGTCAAGACAGCGGTGTTCTGGAGCATCAATCTGCTTATTAAAGCTTATAA